AGAAGACCATAGTTGTTCTGGAATGGGTAATGGTTGAAGAAGTCCAAAAGGTCGATGACGAGGAGTTTTTGATCTTGAGCAAACTTCACATGATTGTACAAAATCTTTGACTGTCTTCTACATTTGAGGCCACCAAAAATCCCTAGTTATCAGCTCCAAAGTCTTATTATATCCAAAATGTCCTGCTGCTGAGAAGTTATGACGAGCTTGAAGAGTATGTAAACGTGCTTCTCCTTTTGGAACATATAGGCGTCCTTCGAAATAGAGTAGGTTATTCTTGAATTCAAATTTAGAAGGATCCTGAGATTTAGAAGAATTATTCTTGATATCATGAACAAGAGGGTCTAAAGACATACTTAACTGGACTCGCTTAAGAAAAGTTAAATCAAAAGTCAATGTTGATTTTATTGCTCGAAGATGAAATTATTCCGGCTTCAAGAGAACCGTTCTTTATTGCTCAAAAGCTGCATCTCCTTCTTTTGGTGCAAGATAAGAACGTCTAGACAAGGCATTGGATAAACCTTGTTGTTTTTCTGGCCGATAAGTGATGATGAACTCGAATCTTGATAAAGACATGCTCCAACGAGCTTGGCGATGATTTAATACGCGTGCTGACATAAAATATTCGAGGTTCTTGTGATCCGTATACACGATGACTGGACTAGAAGCGCCTTCTAGATAATGATGCCATTCTTAAAAAGAATCCACAATTGCAAGAAGTTCTTTATCGTGGATCTCATAATTGATTTCTGCTGCTGAGAATTTTCTTGAATGAAAGGCTACTGGATGAAGTTTGTCATCTGTTCCCATTTGTGATAAAACCGCACCCAGAACAAAGTCCGATGCATCTGTTTCTATAAACAATGCTTTGGAAAAATCAACACGACACAAGATTGGTGCAGAAACAAACGATGTCTTCAAAGATTCAAAAGCAACTTCCGCTTCTTGATTCCATTGGAGTTTGTCTTTACAAGTCAAACGTGTAAGTGGAGCTACAACTCGAGAGAAGTCTTTGATGAAGATGCGATAGTAGTTGGCAAATCCCAAAAAACATTGGACATCTCATACCGTTTTTGGGATCTTCGAGTCTATAATAGTTTGAACTTTCTTAGGATCCATCATAAGTCCATCATTTGAAATGATGTAACCTAAGAAATCAACTTGAGTAGTGTGGAATACATACTTTTCTATCTTGGCATAGAGTCCTACATCTCTTAATTTTTGTAACACACGACGAACATGAAGTTCATGTTCTTTTGGATTCTTAGAATAGATCAAGATGTCGTCTAGATAACATACCACAAAATCGTCCAAAAACTCTCGAAAAACATCATTCATTAGATGTTGAAAAGGTGCTGGTGCATTTGTAAGTCCAAAAGGCATGACGTTGTATTCAAAATGTCCATACCTAGTTCGAAACGTAGTCTTCCAATCATCTCTTTCTTTGATGCATACTAGATTGTATGCTCCTCGAAGATCTATTTTTGTATAGATCTTAGCTTGATTCAATTGATCAAGAAGTCCGGATATTAAAGGTAGTGGATACCTGTTTTTGATGGTAATCTTGTTGAGTCCTCGATAATCAACACACATCCGCAATGATCCATCTTTTTTCTTCACAAATAGAATTGGAGCTCTTGTCGGAGATTTAGAATGGCGTATGAAATTCTTGACTAGATTTTCTTCAATATACCCCTTGAGTTCAGCCAACTCATTTTGTGATAAACTATAGATTGGTCCGAATGGCGGTTGTGCTCCTTCTTGAAGGTCAATTGAGCAATCATAGGGACGATGTTTCTGGAGTGTATCCACATTCATTTTTTCGAATACATCTTGAAATCCTTGATATTGGCTTGGAATGCCACTTGAAGTCTTTTCACCAGTAGAAATGCGTGTAGCATAAATAATGTATGGTGATTCTTTCATAGCAGCATGCAAGAAAGCTTTTGCACCTATAAATATGGGTTTAATTGAACTGGACTTATGACTCTCTACTTGCTTAACTACACTATTAGTTATACTTTCAGAGAAAGTGAGAGTTCGGAAAATCCAATCTATTTGAGGGTTGTATTTTTCTAACCACGATAAACCTAAAATGATTGGATTAGAGGAAGATCTAATGATATTAAATACTACAAAACTATTATGACCATTGATTATTACTTCTATAGGAAGGGTTTCGTGAGTAATATCTCGAGAAGACAATGGACGACCATCTATGACTTCTACATGAACAGGTTTAGTTTTCTTTACTAAAGATATGCTATGTCTTTTAATAAATTCTTCATCTAAAAAACACGTTGAGGCTCCTGAATCTAACAAGGCAGAGACTTTGTAATGTTTAGGTCCTAAAATAACATTTAATGTAAAACAAGGAGAGGGCTCTGAGGAGAGAATAGGACCTTTACTAGAAGTTGTGCAAGGTTCCAGCCGCACAGTCCCTATTGTAGCTGGACAAACTCGTTTTTTGACATATTATCTTCTTTCACAGCCATACTCCTCATTTTGTGATTGCGTCGTTTCTTTGAACAATGCTGAGCAGTGTGCTTTGGTTCTCCACAATATAAACATAATCCTTCTTGACGACGACGAGTCTTTTCTTGCTCAGTAAGAGGTTTGAAACGTACTGCATCAATTTGCATATCCTCTACTTCCGAATGTATGTGTTGAAGAGATGTTGGTATTGCCATTGAATTATAGTAACGTTGAGGTCCACTTGTACGGTTCTCAGATCGGAATTCAAAAAGGCGATTGTCGCACTTCACAGCAAAGTCAATTGCTTGACTCAATTTTTGAGGATCAGGTAAGTTGAGCATTAATTTTTTTACCTCATATTGTAATCCGTAGAGAAATTGGCTAATAAGTGCAGCATCATCCCACTTGATATCAGTTGCAAGTTGTCAAAATTATGAAACATATAACGTTACTGATCAATTACCTTGTCGTACAATACGGATCTTATTGGTTGCAACACGAATTGCATCATGTTCTCCATACATGGATCAAAACTCTGCCAGAAAAGCCTTTAGATTATCCAATATTGGATCTCGTCGTTCAAGAAAAGATGAAAACCACGATATTGCCGAACTTGAAAGAAGCGTACTAATGAATCTAACTTGTGATCCTGGAGTTGGATAGCTTTGGAGTTGAAGTTCAATCAAAAGTTGCACTTGATTGATAAATCCTCAAACTTTAGATCTGGTGCCATCAAACTTCTCGGGTAGGGCAATTCTTGGTTCTCTAACATTTGAAGGGCGTTCTACCATAGGAGAAAGGACATGGTTTGGTGCAGATGTTGAAGTAGCTCCAACCATTTCTATATCTTCACTTCCTGCCAATCTTGTTGCTCCTTGTGGTGGTAAATTGAGTTGATGCATCACAAGCATTAACTCCCTCAATTGCTCTTGCATTTGTGCCATTGCACTCTTCATTTCAAGAAGTTCTGCCATGATAACACCTAGAAGAGAGAAGATGTCTAATATCGCTCAAGACAAATAGAAGAGAGGACTTGCGGACAAAGAAAATACTAAGGACAATATCAGTTTAGAAGAGGGTAATCCGCAACTTCTAATACGCTTATATCTTATTAAGAAAAAGGGGTAATCCACTCTTAATCAAGGTTAGACAAAGCTCTGATATTGTAGGTGTACTCTTGTCAATCTGTCAAGGACAAGAACTCAATGAAAAAACAATTCAGACGAGTGAGCCTTCACTCAAAGAGAGGTAATAAAATATATATATAAACAAGTATATATATTGAAAGAGGAACTGGAATGGCTATTGCCAAAAGACAAGAAAACTAGAAACCCTTGAAACTAGACTAGAAGCAAGAAAGGAGTTGACAAGAGTGAAGAAGCCTTCACTCTTGTCTCTATATATACTATCTAACTAGGGGCTACGTGGCGGCGTTCTATAGGACCTCCAATATGTGTTGACTTTGTAGGACACATGCCTTGACTTACAAGGCAAGTTTTTCTACGTGTGAGCCACATAGTTAGCTTGATCGTCAAGCTAACAACATGTGTGGCACATGGCCAACTTGTTGACCACGTTTCTAATCCAAAAAGTCAATTAAAGACACCTATGAAGTCAAAGCAGTGTCTATGAAGCTTCTAAGAAGCTTTCATATTAAATATTATAGAATTAACTTACTTTTATCTACTTTTATTTACTTCTACTTATTTCTATATGTAATTATTAGCTTACATGATTATAGCCGTGACAATTATATTATAAACAAAAATATGGTATTTCATGTCTTGATTATAAAAATTATGACAAATTTTGAATACTTGAATTTTTTATAAATATTCATTTATTTATTTTTGGAATGATTTCTTGTATATTTGTAGAAAATAATCCTTTAGGTGGATCAAGTAAAAAATATTTAGAGGAACAATACTATTTATACCATATAAAAAAAATCAATCTTAATTGATTTTATGAAAGTATGAAGTCAATTAAATTTTTTTAAAAATATTAAAAAATATAAAAATCAAGTTCAATCCATCACAATGATAAATACACAATAATACCTGAGAATTATATGTTGCAAATTTCACAATAAAAAAAATGTAAACAATTCAATTATGTTCATTGATGCCTATTCTATGTTCAAATGTTCAATTTTGATAATTCTGCAAACATTCTACTTGCCAAAACAACAACATGACAACCAGAACAATTACAACAACATTACTCAATCACTAATCACTAGTCTTTAATGCAGGTCAAACCATTGATTAGTACATTAGAAAAAAAATATCAAACCCCCAAAACAATGAAAGTATTAAAAGAACACATAAACTAACATACAGCCACACACACACACACACACACACACGAGCGAGTGGTGGGATTGATTAAAGCAAGTGGTCCCTAATTGGCAATGAGTGGACCTGCCACCGTGTCAGCCCTGTGGGATCTCGTGGCAGGGCTGGGCAGCCTTCCAGTGGCAATGCAGCGAGGCTTCTTCGCTCGCACGAAACCCTAGAGCTCCAGTCGTCGTCGTCTCCGTCCTTCTCCTGCTTCTGCTCTCTTCATTGGGCCTTGCCTCTCCTGCACGCACCAGCACCAGCACTCGAACCCCAAAGCCATCGCCGTCGCCGCAGCTCTCGCTCGCATCCTCCTTGCCCTTATACGTTTCACTTGTTCATACCTCGTAGTGATCAAGGCTCGGCTTATCGTTTCGAGAAGAGCGCGTTGTGCGCCAATTCGGTGTGAGTGAGTGGTAGCGAGGGGCTTGTTGGTCGAGGCGGAGTTGGAGGTTGCGTTTGGCGCTGGCGTGGGATGTGGTGTGCTTGTGTCTGAGTGCTGCTTGGGTTGGCAGAACTTTGGAGGAATTTGGGACGAGGTGAAGAGGGAAGGTTTTTAGGTTGGAGCGGCGGAAGAGTGTTGGTTTGTGAATTATTGTGAGTTACGATATTAGGAGAAGGAGCATGGTACTGGAGTCGTGGAGGGATATCTGCTGTAGTAGCGGGTTGTGGAGCAGATTGAAGGGGGAGGGTTTGTGAGATCGAAGAGGGAGAGGGAGCGTGAGGGCGATTGTTGGATGCGATGTCTGCCGCGGTCTGTGGGAAGCGGTCGCTTTTTGAGGATTTGCACTGTTCACCGCCGACTTCCAAGCGCCTGAGGTTTGCGCAGGGGAATTCGCCCCTCTGGTTCGCTACCGCAACTTCAACGCCACCTTCTGGGAGTAGCCCGTGTTTCGAGCTTCGCCCTGAGGCGGATTTGCTGCTTTCGCAACTCCATGCCCTCTTTCCTGATATGGAAGAGCACGTGGTGGAGAAGGTGTTGGGCGCTTCGAATAATGATCTGGATTATGCCATTAAGAGCCTGAATTTGCTGCGTTTATCTTCGTCACAGCAAGCTGCTACAACGCTGCCTTCGGACCAGGATGCTACTGTACTGTGCCCTCCACTGCCCATATTCTCAGACTGTCCCGATGAGCTTAGTATGCAGCAGCAACAGCAAGCGGAATCCACATCTTCACCTGTTCAATCAGAGGGAGGCAAGTGGGTAGAGCTTTTGGTAACGCAAATGCAGAATGCGAGCAATCTGGATGATGCCCGTGCAAGGGCTATGTGTACTCTGGAGGGTTTTGAAAAAGCCATATTGTCCCGCTCTGCGCGCGTCATAGAAGACGTCGAGAAGGAAAATGTAGCGCTGAAGGAACAGAATCGTAGACTGATTCATGATAACCAGATTCTGAAAAGAGCTGTTACCATTCAACATGAGCGGCAGAAACAACACGAAGTGCGAGCGCAGGAGCTGCAGCAAATGAAACAACTTCTTGCTCAATACCAGGAACAAGCACGAACCTTGGAGTTGAACAATTATTCCCTGTCATTACACCTTCGACAGGCACAAGAAGGAAGTTCCATGCCTGGACATTTTCACCCGGATGTATTTTAAGCTTCTCTTTTCAGAGGTGAATTGTGAGAGACTTGTTTGACAATTGATGTCTAACAATTTATTTGTAATTTGTAATCTATAATTTTCTAATTTAATTTTATGAGGTTTAGGACAGCACACGCACGCCTAGACTTTTTTGCTTGTGGGACTTGAAGTTGTGTTCAGTTTGTGCCTGTCATTCCTAAGCTTCTGACCATCTCCACGTACTCTCAGCTCAAGAACTTCGAATTGTCCACGATTGCGTTGCATTGCAGAGACATCATCCTTAAGCTCTATTTTTTGGGATTTGTTCAGCATCGTACTTGCTAAGTATTGAAGAGACTCCTCTCACCGACTGTTGTGCCCATTTAGGCTTGGACTCTGTTTGGACATACAAATAGCTTATTGAACAATAACCTTTCACACTATCTTTCACCTCTGAAAATGTTCGAAAATTGGGTGGTTTTCATGCTGTGTCGATGTTTTCTCCCCCAGAGTAAAAGATTCTTTCAATGCAGAAAACGCCAAAAAACGTACAAAATGTTTGCAACTTAATTCGTGAGTGACATTTTCGTGAAATTGATAAGTTCATGATGAAATGAATCACTAGATAAAATATACTCTAGGTAGTTAGGTTTAGATGGAGATTTGAAACAATCCATTTAATTAATTCTAGTAATATTATTTTTGTTCAAAAAAATATTTTACTTGATGTCAAAGTTCACCACTGTTGATTTTACAAATCTTTCAAATGAAAGAAATATATTTTAGGTCAAATCACAACTAGCAGATTAGATGTTCTAAATGTGACAAAGAATTATATTCTTATTTAATTGTATGTTTTTTTTTTGAAGATATACACTTGAAGCAGAATTAGTCACCAAACAATATATTTGCAAGCATTCATGTCACATAAAAGGTTTGGTAATAATTAAGGTTAGTATCCATTTAGATTGGTCAATAGACACTAAATGAATACTAAACTTATTAAGTGTTACTTGGCAATAGATGCAATACTATCTAAGTTCTATATTATTGTTATTTATTACATAATTTTTTTTTAAATAAAAATAAAAAAATATAATATATTTCTTATAAACTAGCTTGCATGATTTTATGTGTTAAAATAACTAAAATAATTATAAAGATAATGTGTTTCTTCATTGTACAAAAAAACAATCAATATTTACATATTTATGTATTTTGAAGTTGATTATGATGCCTCCAATACTACTATTTAAGTAATGACACACTAATAAAAATATTAATAATAAATCAATCATAATAAAAATATAAATATAAAAATATAATATATGTTTTATTTTTATTAATTTGAATGTAAAATTTATTTAAGTGATTGAGTGTAAACAAAAAAACAAAAACAACAATAAAAAATAAAAAATATATTATGTTTTGAATAATTAATAATAACAATTGCTACCGAAAACTAAAGATACTAATTTTGGAATTTTTTTTTTTGTATTAGTCAATCTCTAAATGATATTGTATTTAATTCACTTAATATACATAAAGATTAATATTATCAAGAGAAAAAAAAAAAAAAAAAAAAAAAAAAAAAAAAGATATAAAATATTTCAATTATTTTCAATACTAAAATATAACTATATAAATCTAAGGTCTGAATTAATATTTTATTAAAAATTTATTTTTAAAAGATGAAGATTTTAAAAACAAGATGTTACTTGATATGATTGGTATAACAGGGTATAGATAAGATAATTATATAGATAGTTAGAACCATGGAAGTTTATAGAATTGGAGTTAGTTTAGTAGATTACGTAAGATCCACAATGAAACATTCTAGAAAGAATTTAGGACAATTATTTAGGTGGGGCCTACTATAAAACCTTCTAAAAAAGTTTAAGGTGGTTATTTAGATGGGATCCACCATATATGAACATTCTAGAAAGTCAAGGGTGGTAGGACAAGGTATAAGTAGGACTGGCTAGGGCCTTTTGGAGCATTTGGTCAAGAATGGCTTTAGATCCTTTCTTTTAATAAAGTTTGATTTTGCATTGTTTTGTTCAATTTTGTTCTATTTTATTTCAATTTCTTCAATTTGTCTTTCATATCCTACTTTGTGTAATTTCGTTGAGTTCTGTTTTGATGTGTATTGTTTTATTTTGTGATGAAGTTTTATGTTGTAGAATAAAATGATCTTGGGTTTTTTAGATAGCATGGTCTTGTTTTGTTGGTATTAGAGCAAGTGTTAGACTATTTACTTTTGGTAGCATGTCAATAGTCATCATTTAATCCAAGGTCAATTGTTGTGGTTACACTGGATATTGTGTTGAGGCTACCATGAGCTATTCTTAAAAAGTCAATCATGATGTGAAAAGATATTATAATAGTATTGTCCAAAGGAGAAATTACAATGTGAAAGATATGGCAAAGCAATCCTAGATGGAGGTTCAAATACAACACCTCTTACATCAGATAGCTACTTAACAAAGGCAAATAGAAGCCTCCCGAAGAAGAAAGTCGACATTTGCTAGGTTGAAAATGACTAAGCCTAGAACATACTTTAGAACTTCAAGACAAAAGGATGTATGTCAATGGCTCTTCAACATGCAACAATACCTATAATTATCTAAGGCAAATACCACTGAAGGAATTATATATGCAGCCAGCTATTTGAAAGATGCGGCAATCATTTGGTAGCGACTTGGAGTTCAAAGTTATGAAGCTCAAGGTGGATTTTGTAATTGAGAGGAGTTTGAGATCGATCACATGAATGGATTGTTTCAAGACCTTTTGGATAAGTATGTAGTTGTCTTCATTGATGATATTCTCCTATATAGTAAAATCCTTGAAGAGCATGAGCAACACATGTGAGAGGTGCTATGCCAGCTGCAAAATAGTGTTTCTATTGCAAGCAATTAAAATGTAAACTTTGGAAGTCGGAAGTCACTGTTTGGGGGCATGTATTGTCCTCCAAAGGCATACAAATAGAGCAAGATAAGATGAAAGTAGTGGATGATTGGCCAACCTCCAAAGATGCTTAAAAAATTCGCTTATTTTTAGGCCTTGGTAGATACTATCGCCATTTTTTTTGGCGATTTACTCACATTGCTGCCTTATTGACAAACCTATTGGAAAAAGGTGTGCCATTTGAATGAAAATTGGAGCAACAAAATACCTTTAATAAGTTGAAGGAGGCACTCATTACTACTCTAATATTACAACTATATGATCTTAATTTCCCTTGTATGTTTGGCATTGATGCTTCTAACTTTACTATTGGAACGGTCCTTCAACAAGACTTTGATAGGGGCCTTCAGCATGTGGCATATGAATCACGTAAGCTCAAAAGGGTAGAGTGCAATTATTCTACACGTGATCAAAATTAAATAGTGATTGTACACTCCATAAAGGTGTGGCAATACTATCTATTGAAGAAGCTAGTGGTTGTTTGGACTAACCATCGATCTTTGCTATATGATTTGCATCTGAAAAATATGAAATCATGGCATCATTATTGAAAAGAATAGTTCCAGCTGTTTGATATCCAACTTGAGTACAAGCAAAGGTGACAACATATTGTGCTAGATAGTTTATCACAAAGACCAGACTTAAAGGACAAATCGAAAGACAAAGCAAAAGTTTCTACTATTAATAATATCATTTGAGATTTAACCAAAGAGGCGGAATGAAAGAAAACTATACAATGGGATGCTTATTTCAAGATGGTTAGCGATCGACTAATAGTGAACAATATATGATATCAGGATTACACTCTTAATCATGGCTTTCTTTATTTCAAGAAGCAAATTTATGTATCCGACAATACTAAACTCCAAACGCGCATACTTCAAGAAGGACATGACGTTCTATTATTTGGACATCTACAACGAGAGAAGACTCTAGAACGGATCTCAAGGACATGATTTTGGATAGGTTTGGATTGTAATGTTTGAGCCTTTGTATGCTTCTACGAGTTATGTCAACATAACAAAGTGCACAACGCATCGTCTCCTAAACTATTGTATCTAATTTTGCTACCTAAGGCTCGTTGGGAGCAGGTGACTATGGATCTCATTACATGTTTGCTATAGACGCCTCATAATCATATCGCAGTTGTCATCTTTGTGGATCGATTCTCGAAGCAACTTCACTTGGCCACTATGTGCTTAGTTATTGATGCTTCAATACTTGTATTAGTCTTTTTTGATACCATCTTTTGTTACCATAGATTACCTTGTGTCATCATTTTAGATCGAGATCCATACTTCACGGGAAGTTTTTGGCAAGTCTTGTTCAAGCTACTATGTACATACTTGCTTGTCTATAGCCTCTATTCCCAAATAAAGTGTACAAATTGGATCTTGGATAATATATTATGGGCATTTGTAGTGGTTCATCATTATGATTGAGATGAATACTTGTTGCCCTTGAAATTTATTTACAATGATAGTATTCAAACAAGTATTGGTTATTCATAATTTTTTTTAAATACCAATCAGCATCCAATTATGCTAGTAACTCTTCATTGTCCTATTGACACTAACAACCTGATAATGGAGGAATTTATACAATGGCTTACAATGGCCTTACAAGAGGCATGGCACTGCTTCATTTTAGCACAAAATCGATAGAAGCAGTATGTGAATAATTGTCAGCAATACAAGATCTTTTGAGAGGATGATCAGGTGTTACTTTCCAATGCCAACTTGCCACTTGCTACATCAATCCAAATCTGTAAACTAGCACCTCAGTGGCTTGGACATTTTCCCATTTCTGCAGTGATTTCTAATGTCACATACTGCCTTGAGCTTTTGCCACATATTTGGATTCATCCAATCTTCCATGTTTCACAATTAAAGGAATTTCATGCCAAGCCAAAGCGCTTTTCAGATCAACACCAACCACCACCACTACCAGTTATAGTTGATGATCAACAAGAATAGGAAGTAGACAACATTTTGGAGCATTGCTACCTTTGTTATGGTAGTGGACGTCTACAACTTCAGTACAAAGTTCTTTAGAAAGATTATCTCATTTACGATGCAATGTGAAAACTTGCATAAAACTTCACCCATTGCCAAGAGGTGATTTGAAGATACCATCGAGAACAAAACGAACACATTCCGTGTTAATGGAGGGAGATTAACTATAACAGGATATAGATAAGATAATTATATAGACAGT